AATGAAATCTAACGTGGTTCAACAGGTAAGAATAATCCTATTATAACTGGAAGAGGTCAAAAGGATTAAATCATATCCCCGACAAATCTGGCAACAAATCTCCTATGATTTCACACAAACGGAAGATAAGATCAACCATCGACATCGGCGGAACGATTTTGATTCCAATCGACAACCATAAATAGGGCACCAAGCCATTAAAGAAGGTACGACGTAAAAACTATTATTAATCCCTGCCTTCTTTTTAAACCTCCGTGACTAATTTGATCGTCAGAGAGCTCTTGGCAGGCACCACACCAGTGCCGTCAAGGTTCATCGATCTTCTCCTCTCTTCCTTGCGGGAAATCGGTATCGTATCGGACTGCGCGAATTTCAGCCTCAACAAATAATAAAAGTATATAAAGTATAAAATATAATATTATTAGTTTAATGTTATTGTTTGAGACAAGTGTGTCTCTACACCTGGTGAAACTGTGCACACTTCCTTAACTTAAGTTAGATTCTTCAAATTTCAAAAAGTTTAAGCCCTACTGTGAAATTGAGTTAATAGGTCAAACTAGTTTTGAGTTGACCTTGTCCTATAATTGAAGTTACACGTCTCCATAACAGTGAAAATTTCATTATTAATAAAATGAAGGGTATAGTGCAATAAACCCCCCTCAACTATACCCTAATGAGCAAAAAACCCCCCTAAATTTCTAAAGTAGCATAAAACCCCCCTGAAGTATGTTGTTTGGTTGCACTTCACCCAATCCGGCAACCGGTTGATGGATTTCTAACATATGGCTGGCACGTGATAGCCCATATTTCTCTAAATGACCATAGAGCCCTTATGGAATGTAAAAGACCATAATACCCTTTAAATACATTTGGACCCAACTAGTATCCAAACAAGCCCTAACATTTTGTCCTCCTTCCTTATCGATGTGTGGAGTAGATCTCTATCTACCTATTTATGTATACATCTATATATATATATATTTTTGTTTAATGGAACCTCTTTCTCTCTCTCTCTATATATATATATATATATAGGTCGTGTGCACATGCCCGTCCATATTCATGGCAAGTTTTCATCTGGAAGATGAGAAATTCGATTTCAACAATAACAGAACTGATTCTCAACCCCAATCACAAGCAAACCCAATCGCAAATTTTAACCCCAATCACAAGCAAACCTAATCGCAAAGAACTGATTTGCAAAACCCAACCACTGCCGCATTTCTTCCTCAAGGCTGAGCCCTCGCCGGTCCATCACCGCCGCTGCACCACCCGCCATCCACACAGCCAACATCATCTAAAGCCGAAATCGCCGAGGCTGTCTTCATCCTCTCCACCGTCCAAAGCCTCCTTGCTCGCCGTGAGTTCGGCCGTCGTTCAATCCCGCCAAGTTCGCCACCGCGAGTCGTTCATGGCTGAGTTAGTCGAGCCCTTCACCTGCCACGCCGTCATAGCCAGGCCGTCTCCACCTCGCCGTCACAGCCAGGCCGTCTCCACCTCGCCGTCACAGCCAGGCCGTCTCCACCTCGCCGTCATAACCAGCCTGTCTCCATCAAGCCGCCACAACCAAGCTCGTCACCGCCTTGCCCGCCGTTCTGTCAATTGCCGGTTTCGCCGTTGCCTTTTCAATTTGGGGGTTCATCGCGTTTCAATTTGGCGGCTTGGACAGGGACGAGTTAGAGAGAGAGAGGGTATTAAGAAGTGACCCAGTTGAGGATAAAGAAAAGAAAAGGAAAAATAATAATAAAGTCATCAGCCAATAGGCTGCTGACACGTGTCCTCCATGTATTCTATTTTCCTCACTGTAATGTGGCACTATTTTATGGAGGTTTAAATTAGACTTTTTAAATTTCCAGTAGCTAGAAATGACCTGAAGAACACTCTCTGTCCTAAGACTACACCAAGACCATAGTTGAGGGGGGGTTTTTTATAATTAAGGGGGGTTAGTTGCACTTAGGGTATAGTTGAAGGGGGTTTATTGCACTTTACCCTAAAATGAATAACCAAAGTATAAAATTAATATAATATTACATTATCAATTTAATGTTATCGCGAGACAAGAGTACACATACACATGTGAGTTTGTGCACACTTTCCTAACTTAGATCAGACTTTTCAAGTTCTAAAAAGTCTAACCCTATTGTGAAACCAAGTAAATATGTCAAATTAGTTTTGAGTTGAGTTGATCTATAATTGAAGTTATACGTGTTACCATAACTGTTAAATTTTTTTACTATAAGTAAAATGAATAATAAAAGTATAAAATATAATATTACATTATCAATTAATGTTACATAAGTGGGTCTATACCATGAGTTTGGTTTGTGTATATTTTCCCCAACTTACTTTAGATTCTTCAAGTTTTAAAAAGTCTAAGCCTAGTCAAATTAGTTTTGAGTTACTACTTTGCTCGAAAATTCCACCCTCATAACGTGAATAATGAGAGAGAAATTGAAGTAGAAATATAATAGTGACGATGATGATGATCAAAACATTTGTTAAACAAAACCCTAAAGAGATCATTGATAGAAAGAGAGATATTTATTATCAAAGAATTAAAGATAGTAGAATTTTCAAGAAAATTAACAAGAACGTGAATAATGAGAAAAATAAATAAATAAATAAAAATAAAACTAGAAGATTTGGTAACACTGAATGGGAAGACGAACCTTAATTTATACAGGTGTGATTATGGTGAGGAGAGTATTACCTCACTTCTCTGAGAATTTTGCCCAGCTATAGAGTACACTGTAAATCTACAGTGCAATACAATACATGTACACCATGCAAGCTTTTACTTATTATTATTATTATTATTATTATTATTATTATTATTATTATTTTATTTGTCTGTGATAGTGATTAATGTATTCAATTTTCGCATATTGTTTGATAACTCTAATAGTAGAAGTGTGTGTACTACTGTACTAATTTTTTTGTATCACCATTAATACTTCTATAATTGAAGGGTGGTCGGAGAACTTGAAAAAATAATAATACATTAAAAAAAAAAATCCTTTAAATTGAAGTTACATGTCTTTAACGGTTAAAATTTCATTATAAATAAAATAAATAATAAAAATATAATATTACATTATCAATTTAATGTCATTCGGTAGCACAAATGTGTCTACACCCTGTGAACTTTAGCACTTCCTTAGTTTAGGTCAAATTCTTCAAGTTCCAAAAAGTCTAAGCTTAATGTTAAACTGAGTTAATATGTATAACTAGTTTTGAATTATACGTCTCCTTAACAATTAAAATTTCATTATAAATAAAATGAATAATAAAAGTATAAAATATAATATTGCATTATCAATTTAAATTAATGTTATTGCTAGAGATAAGTGTGTTTACACTCTGAGCTTGTGCACACTTCCCGACCTTACTTCAAGTTCTGAAACCAAGTGTAAGCCTACGTCAAACTAGTTTTGAGTTGACTTATCATTGAAATTAAGTATATAATATAATATTACATTATCAATTTAAGGTTATTGCGAGACTCAAGTGTGTCTACACCCTTACTGTGAAACTGAGTTAATACATAAAACTAGTTTTGATTTTACCTATGATTGAAGTTATACATGTCCTTAACAGTTAAAATTTCATTATAAATTAAATGAATAATAAAAATATGAAATAAAATATTACATTATCAATTTAATGTTATTGTGAGACACAAGTGTGTCTTCACCCTGAGTAAATATTCAGTGTGCTCGGTGCACCAGTCTAATCTGAACCGTGCGTGCACGACACGTGCGAACGTGTGCACAACACAAACAGTACAGATTAGCCAGGTGCACCATGCATTGGGTGCACTGAATATTTATTCCCACACACCGTGAGCTTGTGCACACTTCCTTAACTTAGGTCAGATTCTTCAAGTTCTGAAAAGTCTAAGCCTAATGTGAAACTAAGTTAATACATGAAACTAGTTTTGAGTTTATTTAAAAGTGAAGATACACATCTCCTTAACAGTTAAATTTTCATTATAAATAAAATAAATAATAAAAGTATAAAATATATTATTACATTATCAATTTAATCTCCTTAACAGTTAAATTTTCATTATAAATAAAATAAATAATAAAAGTATAAAATATATTATTACATTATCAATTTAATGTTATAACGTGACACAATTGTGTCTACATCCCATAAGCTTGTGCACACTTCCCTACCTTAGATCAAATTCTTCAATACCTTAGGTCAAATTCTTTAAGTTCCAAAAAGTCTAAACCTAGTGAAACCGAGTTAATTCATCAAACTAGTTTTGAGTTGACTCCTTGACTTGCACAATTCCACCCTCATAACACATATTACAATTAGAACGGATTTTGATCTGAATCCAATCCTATTATTCGGATATGGATTGGGGAAAAAAAATCTGATAATCAAATAATCATGATCCAATAATCTATGATTAAAATTATCTGGATATCATTACAATTAGAATGTTATATATATTAGTAATCAATTATTAAATTTACAATTATTAATTATTTATCACTATATTCATTTGTTGAATAACTATATACTAATAATTTTCCACTCCATCTAACATTAGAAATTATAACTATACATGTTTTTGAATATAATTTTAATCTGAATCCGAATCCAATTCGAGTTTGAGCTAAATAAGATATAAATTCAAACATTCAATCTGATAACTTGTTATCCAAATCCAATAACCCATTAACTCAACAGATCTAATATGAAATTGATCTTCCGTTGACATAATTACAATTGATTCACATAATTTAACAAGAAAAATGAAAAGGAGGCTGAGAAAAAAAAAATAAAAAAATAAAAAAAAGGAGGACAAGATAATCAAAATATAGAAATTTTTAATTTTAATTTTAATTTTTGGTGTCATAATCCATTTATTTTTAAAATGTCCAACCCTTTTGTAAATTTTATTTAATGAGATAAGGAGTAAATAAAAATCGAATCTCTTTTACATTTCCCTCACAAAATCATCAAAGTGAAGCCCAAAAGAGTTGGACCTTAATGACAGTTTCAGTTCCATGCCATTAACATAAATAAATAAAAAATGCAAAGCATTTTCCAACAGTCACAACATTGGACTCAGCACTGACAACCAGAACAAAGAGACTATGACAAAATCTCCTCACCTTTCCTTCCCAGTCCCAACTTGTCTGCAGAAAAACTAACCTTTCAAAAAAATAAATAAAAACTTAAGTCTTTAGAAAAGAAAAAGAACATCAAGTACGTGACACAATAGCTCTGTGCTTTGACTGGGAAACGCTCAAAGCTTTTTGAACCTAAGTCAAAGGTGCAGATCAGCAGATATAAACTAAAAAGACTCCGTTAAGATGGTCAAAGGCCCACATACAACTACACAAGTACAAGCATTAGGAAAAAGATGCAACATCAACAGCATCTGCTGTACAAATAACCAGCATGTTGCACGTGCAAGTGTTCGATGCTCGATTTCAGTTATTCCAGTACAGTTCTGTCCTCACGGGACACCATGTGTGGTTAATTTTACCCACAAGCAAAACTAGGATCACTGATTTTGCATCTGCTGAACCTGAATTTGAAGAAGAAATTCCTCCAGACTGAACTCGGAAAACACATTCCTTTTTCTGAGTCTGAGGAAGAATTCTCCTCGACTTTATAAAATCTTCAATACTTGGTTCTTCAAAGCAGCTATCATCTCCGGTGAATCTATCACGCCCTTTCTGAACTAACGCTGCAATGAAAAGAGACCAACATTTTACTCCCTATCAATACTACATTCTTTACCCGTCCACATGATAGTCTTCAAATTATCAACTCAATGAATAGAAATTAAAAAAGTTTCTGGACATGCAATGATCAAAATTGTAGACAGCACATAAAACCAGGTTTTGTCAAGCTAGTTCAAATTTATATTTTCACCATGGCAACAACTACAATTTCAAATAAGAATCTGTTAAACTTATTTCAGCAAGCAAACTATCACACATTTCCAATCAAGATTTTCTCAAGGAATTACCTGAGTTGCATATCGTGAACTGTCTGCCAGGAACTTTACAAACTCTTGCTTCTTTATTCCAAAATTGAACTTTGCATGGTCCAATAATGCTTGCTCTCTCTGTATATCTTCCAGCAATCTTTCCACTTCCCATTTCATCTCCTTTAGCTGATTTTCAGTTTCATAATAGTCCATAGGTATATTTGACGTCCCGGAGCTTTTTGGGAATTTCACATCCACGTCTTCCCTTATATCAGATAGGTTCACAAAGAAAGATGTGGCATCAGGAAAAAGAAAAACGAGGACATAATCATCATCGAACTTCAGAAATTAAATTCAAGTAAAATTATAAATGTAAATGACGCAATTAAAGATAATATATCTATTTCATCCATACAGATCTGGTGGATTAAGGTGTGATGCAAAGAGAGATCAACATTATTTTCTCTAAAGAATACAACTTCCTGTAATAGCACAACTGTTTTCAAAAGGACTCAAAAATTAAACATATATGACTCTTTAACTGTAAATTAACCCAGTAAGCTGACAAATGTGAGTACACGGATCGAGTTTGAGAGCAGTCATTTTTGTGCAAAACAATTCCTACAGTTGCATATAACTCCCCCTCCCAACTTCCATGAAGGTGAATCTAGGACTGGATAATGGTCATTTGTTATCCAAGGTAAACAGAATTGAGCTTATTTGACAATGCTATTGCCTTTGTACAGATAAGAGGATTTTGCCCGACATTGTTATAAGGCCTAATATTTTGAAGGGAATGGAATATGTATTTTTTTTTTTTTTTTTTTTTGGGATAAGTAAAGTGAACGGAATGTGTATGGAAATTATTATATATGTAATTAACTCACAATGTATAAGCTTCTTACCGATAGCCAAGTTGAAAAATACCACTCCTAATCATCCCTCCGTCCAAAGATAGAGCTCCATCACTTAAAAAAGGGAGAGCCCGTAGCATGTCTTCCCTTGTTCTGTACACTTGCAGACGAGAGAAAAGAAAATAGAAAAGAGTCTCCCTGAGGCCATGCCCATTTGTTGTTAGACAGTATAAGTGCATTGCATCAACATTTATCAGATTCACGGCAAACCCAACAAAGCCAGGTGGAGATTCCCCACCAGGTAATCTTGGTTTTAGAAGATCAAGCCTCCTTTGTGGGTCATCAGCAACAAACTCGCCGACATATGGTCTGAACGTACACATCGAAGAGAAAGGAACAGGAAAAAAAAAAAGAAAAAAAGAAAAAAGAAAAAGGTCTTCAGAACATTTATAAATAGAAACTCCAGATTGCCTAAACAAAAACAGTATATAATTGACATACGTTAAAGTATCAAGGCAAATTACACCAAATCGGCCATCCAAAGGCCTTCCAATAGAAGCTCCAAGCCCATGAAGACCAGAACTTTTATTTATAGAGCCTTCCTTGTCATATGTTTCCAGGGCTTTAACGCCATCATAAGTTTTGCAAACAACTGTCAACATTTTTCCCATCCCCAAGTACTCCGAGAGAAGCCTGGGTTCCCAGTTGGAAATAGAGCATGTCAAGCATAATATAGATTAGCAACAGCAAAATCTCATAAGACTCCTCAATTAACATATTATATTATTTCTTCCATCCCCAGTGTAGTTACTTTTACAAAACATTTGGTCGATTCAAAACTCCCAACCAGACAGTTATAGATTTAGCACCCAAACTCATCTCCCACCCTTCAGAAGCACAAATCTATACAAGTTTCGGTAATAAACTTAATAATATAAAGATCCAAATTAAAGATGGTTGGACCAGTACTTTTTACAGCATCGTACAGAATACACGTGCAATATATTCACAACGGCCAACCCAAAACAGCTCAAAAATAATCAGGTGCAACAAAAGCTTTAGTCCAATGCGGCAACGAAAAATGGAAAACATGAAACACTGGGAAAGTATACTAACCTGCTAAGGTTTTCATCATCTACTTTGCCAAGTGTAGCAACAATACCAAGCACATCCTTGGTCAACGGAAGATTATACGGCTGAGAACCAAGACGAGTTTTTAACTGGAACAAAATGCCAGCTGCAGATTTCTCATGTTTTATAATATGTTCAACCGTTTCTTCCTCACTCTTTATGTGGGAAAGATCCTCATTTTCGGTCTTAGGCACACTGGATGAATGATACTTGCCAAGACTAACTGAGAAAATACTTGTTAATGGAGAATAGGAAAACAAGCATAAAAGTAAAATGCATAAAAGATTTCAAATTTGCAAGACTCGTAATGGATAATACTTTTACTTCCAGAGTGACATCACTTTGACCTGAAGTCCAAACTTAAAATCCTAATAATTGACAATGTTTTATGTTCGTCTTTTATCAGCTTCATGACTTGATTCCACTTAAGGGTAATTGAATAACATAAAATAATATTTAGACTGCAAGAAAACAGGATCAGAACTAATTAAATGTAACATGAGGAGTTACTAGAAATGCATTCTTGATAGTAAGAACACCCATGAATGATTTTGATCAAGGCCCAAAAGATTTTCAATAACTTCATGTTTGATAACATAATAGTAAAAATATTGATCTTTAGTTGGGCATAGTTTAGTAAAAGCACCATAACTTTGGCCCTTCAAGCTAGAGACTTGGCCATTTTATCCACTTCCTCAGCAGGGTGCCTTAATATGCTGGGATCCTTCACTTTCCAACTTTTACGAATTTCAAAGATTATGTTTTACATTGAAGTGATATTTACTGACAATTAGAAAAAAAAAAAAAACAATGTACCTTGCTTATCTAGAATGGCGTCATCCACCTTATTCTTCTTAGTTTTCAAAGATTTGATATTGTCTTCATGGCGTTTTATTTTTAGACCTAGCATCTTTAGATCATCCTGAAGTTTCTGCAGAGATTAAGCAACAACATGAAGTTAATTTGATTGACCAAATCCCTAAAAAATGTAGAACTTGTTGGAGAAGGCATCCCCATGAACTCAAAAAGATGACCAATTACATCTTTGCTATAACCAAAAAAAGAATTAAAAAAAAAAAAAAATCCATTACTGTGAACATTTATATAGCAAAACTATATCTGCGGTTCTAAAATATTTTTTAACAACCTTAGAATTATAGACAGCTGATTCTGCCTTACAAAATGCTCCATTTTGTGTTCCATCCATTGCAATTGAATCATTCTGATCCACAGGCACCAATGCTGTTGAATCTTGGATAGCCAATGGCTTTGTATGAATTGAAAGCTGGAAACCAAAACCATCATTCATACAGATCTTTATATATCAGTGATCAACAGTTTGAAGCAATAAAATACACAAGAAGAAATGGAGCTGACTATTTGTCAGAAAAATTTTAATTTATCGTAGTCTTTTTACTTTTCTTTTCTATAAATACAACAAACGCACTTGAACCTTGTATTTTAACATACTGTACTAGTAGGAGATACTACTCAAGCTACACATGAGATTATGAAAAAGGAAACTTCTAAAAAAGAGGAGGTAGGGTGACATTCCACAAAGAGAATGACATTAAGATCAAACTCGTGCAAATTTTGTATTTTTTGTTTCACAATTCAGTAGTTTCAGGTATGCATATTTTTCATATAAGTTCTCAAACAGAATAAAATAGTTTATTTAGCAATCTATGATTTAAAAAAAAAGTACATATATAATCTGTTTTTTCAAAAGAATGTTTTCTTCATATCTTTGATAGTTCCTATTCAGAATGTTCTCAAATTCCACACTAGAAGCTTCCAACTTCAACTGCAGATTGTGAGAAGCTAGCATGGATTTTAAGAAAATACATAAGCAAATGATCTGGAACTCCTTCATGTAGAAAACTGGCCCCAGATTAGGCAATACACCAGTCCCTTATAGGCCAACAAAACAAACTACGAGAACCACAAAATCAATGTTGGAAAGGAATATTAGTCATGTGGTTTTCTATCATGGTACTTTTTTTCTTGGTGAATTTGTAAGATTCTCAACAGTGATATAGTGCTGCAATTCACTAAGGAATTCAATTGTCGGTGCGTCTCAACGCATTGCCCTTGTTAGTTTCAAAAAATAAATAAATTATCTAATAATAATAGTTTGTGTTGTTGAACAGTGTGTCACTTGATAGAATTCTGTTACGTCATTTAGATTGAAGCAATGGATAACGAGATGATCAAGGGTTATGTTGCTTTTGTCATTATATTCAATATATGGAGATTATGGAATTTGAGTTCACTTTAGGCTCCACCAGGCATCTGAGAGGTCTTGAAATTCCGAGAGAGAGGCTCTTGATGCGGACAAAGAGTTACAACTTCCTTTAGAACAAACCTTCATTTGCGATGACTCTTCCGAAATGATGACCGGACGTAACAGATTCACTCAGTTCATTGTTATAAACATTCTTCAATAGTATAACTTATTGAACAGGTAAGATCAATGTTGAGTGTTGCAATACAAAAAGAAGTGGTATGCACAGCAGAGCCCATATAAATTGCATTAGATAGCAAAAACCACCCATCACCATCACCCCATCTTCTTTAAAATGCAATTCCAATATAAGCAATTTATGGGAGCATCATGTTCCAAACTCAATTTTCAGTTAACAATGCTACTCTCCATGAAAAAATTACCCTTCACACTAGTAAGAAATCTGGCATAGGTAATGCATTTTCTTCAATTTCAAGTCCAAATGACTATCAATTTCCCCTATTACCAACATTGCCATTGTTCACAGAAAATCTTTTAAGTTAATTACAAGATGTTCTCTTGAAATTTCCCAGTCATTATAGCTTTTCTCTAAGCACATCAACAATATTCTCCACCAAAACCATTTTCTGAATCTCATTCTACAATGCATGGCAGTTAAATTCCCTCAACTTCACCAAACCCACTTGTCCGTAGTTCTCAAAATTGGACATTCGAAACACACTAGGACAAATTTATATATTTTTCTACTGTAAACCTAAAATCTTAATTAACAAACCATGAGCAATTCATTTTACAGAAAGCTAATGTACGTTTCAGAAAAGAAAACTTCGAAATAAATCCTAAAAAAAAAAAAGCAGAAAAAATTAAGTGAAAAATCTTGAGAATGCAGAGAAGTGCATATATAGCAAACAATAATTCGTCGACGAGAGTTATACATGGAAATACACACAAATATACTTTGTTTCTGCCGTTAAAGCTTTAAATAACTCAAACAAGAAATGCGAAACCCTAAGAAGAGAGAAGGAGACATACCTGATTGTTGGGCTGGAACATGACTGAAACGAACTCTACACTCCACCTCTGTGAGCTCTCTGTCTCTCTCTGTCTCTCCGTCCACACAGAGACACACTCGCTTTCTCTCTCTAGATTCTCTCTCTTGTATCAAACTCTGCCTCAGAGTACGCCAGCAAATGACTTTAGTTCTCTTAACTAATGTAGTATTTATTTACACATAATTCTAGGGTTTGACTGACCCTTTTAACTCAGTTGGTATTTTCATTTTATTTGTAGAGAAAAAGACTATCAACTATCAAGCCCTACTTTAAAATAAGTCTTTAATTTTTTACTACTGTAAAAAACAATAATAATAAGTTCTGCTTTAGAAATTTTATCCATGATTTGTATTCAAATTTTTATATTTTTTTTAAATTTACAAAATTAATGTATACTATATTGTTTTTTGAGTTTAAAATTATAATTAATTTAATTTAATTAAAAAATCTTGTGTCTAATTTACGATGACATAAATACATTTTCTTTTTTTTTCTTTTCTTTTTATTTAATTTTTTTTATATCTAATTTTGTAAGAGTTTAAATGAAATTTTGAGTCTGAATAAGACTCATTGACTCTAAAAGAAACTTCTAAAATTTATTTGTCTTTTTCTAGAAAAGGTAGGACTGGATGGTAATTTAATTTATATATTTTTTATTATTAAAATAATATGGAACAACTAGTATGTCTCTCGCGTCACTCTTACCTACTAACCTACCTACCAAACAAATGAAGTGTAAGGAGATTTTACAATATACCTCCTCATGTTTCTTATAATATCATAGCTGCCATTTATATTTTTAAAATGTTATAAAAAAATATATTTATTAAATTGTTGTCTCTTTGAGATATTGACAAAATTACACAACTTTTCTTATGCTTTCAAAAATTACAATTACATTGTGTGAATGAAAAATATATATATATCTGAAAATAGTCAGAAAAAAAATATGATAAAAGTCATTAAGAATGTTTAAATTTCAATACTACCCTTATTTTACAAGATAATTTTTAAGTGTTATACTATTTTATGCTAATATTACACTACCCATTAATCTCATTAAAAGTACGTCTTTTAACCACACAATTAAGGATAGTTGGTATAATTTTTGAAACTATAAAAAATAGTTTGTATAATTTGTTAAACTTCACAAGAGGTCGGTGTAATTTATTTTAACATTACTTTTAAGTAAAAATAATTTTAAGTGAATTATACTCAAAAAGTTCCCTCTTACTTTCCGTAATAATTAAAGTTTGTAATAAATTTGTAATCTCTATTAATGATTTACATCACTCAAAAAATTATTTTTATAACATTAAAATTTGAAATTTCAATATGCCAATTTATTTTGTGTAATGCATGTAAATATATTAGCATCCTCAATAAGGCACATGAAATTAGATCCATATTTCTCAAACAATATAAAAAAAAAATGCATATTTTTTTAACAAAATTGACTCCATACTACAATATATTAACCATTCAAAAAATATAGCCACGTAAATATTATATTTTTTAGCTTCAAAAGTAAAAAAGGTTAGCGTTTAAGTCCTGAATTATTTGTTCAAAGAAGAAAATAAAAATAAAAATAATAAAAATAAAAATATTATAAATAAAGTTGTAAAAAATCTTCTTGAACTATTGAATTTTTTTGTAATTGCCTACTTTAATTTTTTTTTTTCTTTTACACATAATTCTTGAATTATTCAAGAGTTTAAAATAACTATCCTACCGTCAGATTGGCCTTTAAAAACTATAAATGTATTGCACATGACTGACATTGAATTGACTGTACGAATCAACCATAATAAAAAAGGACATATGGAGTAAAACAAACTAACAAAGTACAATGTGATTGCCTTTATACGAAGCCCCTTTTAATAGCAATTCAAATATAATTAATATTATTTCGGTACAGTCTACAAATAGGGATAGCTGCATCAAATACCGTTGAAATTATGTACAGAACTCAGAATTACGAGTGCACAAAAAAAATTTATTGGATCTAAATTGAATCGAATCGGAATTGGAATCCAGTCACAATTTTAGTTCTGATTCTAAAATTTTGGAATCATTAGATAACGGTTTCGGTTCTAAATTTCGAAACTGTTAAATAATTATAAATATTATATTTTTAATTATATAATTATTAATATATATATATATGTGGATTGATACATACAAAGAGATATATATAGTAAAAAAATATTTTCATGTATAATATTATACATAAAAATGCACTACAAATGGGTTTAGAGTCATTATTTTAAAAAATAATAATAATAATAAATAAGGAACTAGAACCGAATCGAAACGGGAACCGTGGAATCGGTTCGGCTTGGTTCAGTTCCGGTTCCATGTTCCAACAGTTCTGGTTCTGGTTCTAATTCCAATTTATAGGAACTGTTGTAATCAGTTTCGCCAAGAACCGTAACCGTGTGCACCCCTGCTCAGAATGGTAAAACAACAAAGTATGTTGATTTATATTCCTTTGGTGACAATTTAGTGGGCAAAGTGAGAAAAACACCCATAGTGTTTTAATTTTAGGTAAATAACACATCTATTATTTATTTTGGGTCTATAACTTCATTAAGTTTGAAAAAATGAGCAAATAATGGTTTATGTTGTATATATTGTATATATAAGTCCGTTAAGTTTGAAAAATGAACAAAAAAAGGGTTTGAAATCACTGTTAAGATATAAAATTTTGAAAATACTCTTTTCTCTTCCTACAATGTCCTTATTAGGGTAATGTGAGAAAAACACCTCTAATATTTACATTTTGGGCAAATAACACCCTTATCATTTATTTTAAGTATATAAGTCCATTAAGTTTGGAAAAAAAATGACAAAGAAGGACCTGATATTATTGTTTCATTAAAAATTTATTCATGCATATTGCACATAACATTTTTAAGATATAAAATTTTAAAAATACCCTTGTCTGTTATGATAATGTCCTTAAATATATATATACACATTTGTCACATTTAATTAGTTTTTTTTTTTTACCTACTTTTATGATATTTTAGTATTTTCAGCATTCAGGTCCTTGCTTGCACTAAAATTGAATGTTAATGAGGTTTTAAATGTTTAAGGGGGTTATATACTCTATATGCATACCATAAGGGTGTTTTTTTGCCCACAACCCTATATTATATATAAAGAATGACAGTTTAGTTATTTCACATTTAATTAGTTTATTTATTTATTCAATTATAGAGGGATACTTTAGTCTTTTTAGCATCTAGATTCTTGTTTGCTTCAAAATTGAATGTTAGAGACTTTTTAGAATATATAAGGGGTTATACACTCTATATGCATACCATATGGGTGTTTTTCGCTATCACCCCCAATTTAGTTAATGGAGACTTGTGAATTATAATATGGTGCTCCAAAGGAGGGCATGAATATTATGTTTACCTTATTTTCTTTAATTTCTTGAGAAATTGAGGTTTACATGTTGAAATATTTTTGGGTAAATTACATTAACATTTCATGAAATTTTCATAAATTACAAATGGGTAAACCATTCAACATTTATTATTTCGACCGTTTAACATTTATTATGACATTTAGCACATGTGCTCAACAACACCTTTAGTTTGGGTTGCAAATGAATCGAGCCGAGCCGAGCTTTGGGTTGCTTGGGCTCGGCTCGGTTCGTCATCTCCAGAGGGGTGCTCGGGCTCGAACGAGCTTGGCCTAACTAAGCTCGGGCTCGGTTACACATTGACGATCACCCATGTACACCGATCTTAATATCTGACCAGAAAAAAGAAAAAAAAAATTTCAAGACACATATTCAAGATGAATTCAAACCTTACAAGCTTTTATGGACTCAATAAAGAACAAAAATTCCAGATGAAATACCTGGTTTTGTGGACTTGATCTATAGATATTTCGAGATCCATTAGAGAGAGAGTTGTGGCGTGGAAGGCTACCGGCGACGGATTCATACAGTGGAGATGATCCACGAGAGAGAGAGAGTTGTGTAGTAGAGGGTTGTCGGTGGAATCGTGTGCTGGAGCTACCAAAGCGGATAGCCATTCTAGACGTTTAGTTTTAGGTTAATTCTTTATCTCTTAACATGAGTAAAGAAAGCAATGACTCAGATGAAATAAAATTAATGATTAGGATTTGAGATGAATCCTTATTTGGATCATGGGCTTAAGAATTAAACTCTTTGGGCCTTTTTGAACCTTATTAATAAAATGATAAGTGTTGGGCAAACTTATATGGACTAAACTTTTTTAATGTAAAATGGTAAATATATGGGCCTTTGTCTTAACGAGCTTGTTCACAAGCCTAATGGGCCGAGCTCAATGTTGCTTAAGCTCGGCTCGTTTACTAAACGAGCTTAAAAATCGAGCTCAAGCTCGAGCTCGGCTCATTTACTAAATGAACGAGCCTGAGCCGAGCCACAGTTCGGTTCATTTGCAACCCTACCTCTAGTGTTTTCTTTCTAGCAGACGTGTTGACCAAATTTCATAAAATGATAATTTTGTCTTTTCTTTATATAAAATGTAATATTATATATTATTATAATAAAAGGGCATTACTGACTTTTCAAATTCAAATTTACTTTCTGTCCTCCGGTGAACGGGTTTAAGGAGGTCAAAGTAATAAACATTGAACGAATTACCCGTATATAATTTGTCCAAATTTCAAGAGAGGTCAATGTAGTTTACCACCCAATGTTTTTCAAAATAATTTTATCATGTTTCTAAATAAATATATATATGTATACATAATTTAATTATTTTAATTCATATCCCCTTAAACAATCAAAGTTTAAATATGTTTACATGTATATCAGGATAGTTTATGTATTAACGACTGAGATGTTTTTGCGTTCATTCATACTTGACCTTTGGTATTCTCAATGAATTACTTTACAATAAATTCATTCATCAAAATTTATGAGATACATTTTGATTAGTGTGACAAATTCATTAACTTGGAATATAAATATTTTCATTCATTTATTTTGAAGTTTGAACACATTTATTTTGACATTTGAACACAATTATGTACGATTCCTCTTATCTAGATAGTCCACATATTTGTCCGATGTTTTTATTAAATTAATAATATAATTGCTCGTTAAGCATGTAATATAAGAGTACCTTTATCCTTCGCTTGGT